GAAGCATGGCATGGCACTGAGGGATTGTGGAAACGCTACCATTGGGGCCGTCCACACACCGGGAGGAGTCGCAGACCATGACCGCCATCCAAATGACTCCAGCTTGTTTTTCAGGCAGATTCAAAAGATGGAGTTAAACACAGGATGCTGTGTTTGCTTGGTACCCATCTCAGACTTCTGAGCCTCTAAATCTCCAAAATCCTGCTTGTTCGCTGAGCTCTGCTTTAAAGTGGGCTGCAGTCGGTCAGAGGAGCTGTTAGGTTAGATCAAGCTAAAAAGCTGTTTTTCGCCCTGCAGATGCAGCTTGCAGTGAGCTAATCACGGAAATACGTAGCCAGATGGACTTTGTCAGCTTTCACAAGGTAAGATAGAGAAGGACAAGGTGGGAGGGGATGGGAGGAGAGAGAGAAAGAGAGAAAAGTGCCAACAGAGACAGAAATCAACTGGAGCTGAATAATGCAGCTAGTCATTCTGCAGCTGGACTTTCTGCCACTTCCTTCCATGTTGATGAGATTGTGAGCAATGTACGGTTGCACCTCTGCAGGCCTCCCATCACACAGCCTGACATCAGGAATCTTAGCACATTACAGCATGAAATGGAGATGAGGAAAAACATGCTATTTAGTCATACACGATAAGTACACATTTGTAGAGCACATCATGGTTCCTTAAATTACCATCAGCAGTATTTTTTGCTTACAGAACATCAACAGATGTTGGTATAACTGAAAAAAAAAGAAAATAGGTTTTCTTGTTTCTCCTTGTACCCTCTGCCCTTTGTCATTGCCACAACTTGATTCCGTCAGTGTTGATGAGGTCATTGTGTCGCAGTTTTTTTGAGGATGACCTGGTATTGCTTAATTGATTGCCCCATTGATTCTAGATAACATTCTGTATTGATATCTTGTGGGGTATTTCTGGTTTCTAATAATGAAGACGAACTGCACGCCTCTGGGCTGGTTTATGCAGCTTCTTTTCCCAATTAACTCTAATGCGGAGCAGCTCTGACTTGAGGTCACAAGTTTAGTTCTGATTCTCTGTCTTTGAAGTTTTGAACCAGTGCTTTAAGTTTGGTAATTGGATACCTTTTCTGAAGGTACTGAAGGTAGAAGACGGTCACTTTGAGGCCTTCAGGGGTGTAGCTGTCTTCCACAGAATCTTACTTTGGTGTTTTTTAAAAGACAGGAATTGTTGTAGCTGTTGTCAGTCTGCTCTGCTGAAGAAATGTAGCTGCTGTTTTGTTCCTTACACTAAAAGTTTGATGTTGCACTGCAGGTCCCTGATGTTGTGTCCTCGAGCAGCCTGTCCCTACACAGCGAGGGTCAAGCCCAGGTGTCTCTAGCAGAGGAAAGCTCCAAGAATGTCAGGAGAATTACAACAGTTTGAACATTATTATAAACATTATTATTTTTTATATACTATTTGCATGTTTTTGTATAATGTTTCATATTTTTGTAAAGGTAAAAGATAAAGTTTTATGATCTTGAGCCAAATGTGTCTAACACAGCTGAATCCTAAAAACAGCAGACAACAGTTTTTAGAATACATGACTCAATGTACTTCTATTTTCAATAAATGGTGTTTTTGCGTGCTTTTAATATTCTTATATGAATATCTACATTTGATAGATATCTTGAAGTAAGTATTTTCATCCTCAGATGTGAACATCGAAATGAAAATTTCAGTTTATTAAAACCATATTTTGTAGCTTTGGCTATCATTATTTTTCAGTTGTTCTCAACAAGATAATTGCTGAAGTGTGGGTTCTCAGCAACACCACATTAAAGGTGTGAAAAATGCAACCACTCTCAGATGCTCATACTAAGCAACTTGAACTTGCATCTCAAATACAGATCATATATCGGTCATCGTTACAATGTAGAGTATGGAGAGCATGCTGGATTGTAGAAACACCAAGAAAAAGCTGGAAACCCACAGCCGACCTTCAGGAATCTCTATAAAACCACACCTCCAAAAACAGTGCAGCCAAAGGACTAACCTATGACAGAAAGCACTGGTGGGGAGAGGCGCACAGGGCATTAAAACTACCTCATGTCTTAAAGAATACAAATAGACCTACATCACCACATTTACAAAACACCTCGTTTAAAGCCAATATAGATGAAAATTAGACAAATGTGATTAAACACTTGCTCAAAGGTAGACCAAAGGAAGAACATATACACAGGTGTAAACATATTGCACTGAGGATGATGGAAACCACTAAGAGCTTTTAAAGAACCTTAAATACAAATGGATGTAATCGTCTGGTGTATTTGCAGTGCAAGATGCTGCAAGTTTAGGTTGCTGTGTGTAACATTGTGATGTCCAATTAGTGCACAGGCAGAGAGGTGGGCAGGTATGTAAACAAGCGAGTAGGCCATCCAGTCCTCTCATGCAGACTGAATGCAATGATAGGACAGACTTTTTCCAGGCATTTGACTGCCACAGATAATAGTTTTTGTTTTCTTTTTATTACCACAACACTTAATCTATTTATTGATTGCTGTCAGGATATAAAGAGACGTTCAACAAATACAATACAAACATGCTTCAGGAATACGAGGTGTGTCAGAAAAGTTCCAGGACTGGTGTCACAAAAGCTATATTTCAAACCCAAACTACAAACTATGAGTTTTCCCCTTCAGATGCTCAACCAGCACGTCTACAAAGAGATCCTGCGGTGTTTGCTTTGTTCAGTGAGCGAGAAGAGGTCAGAGTTGTGGCAGGACAAGTCGTGGCTGCTTCACCATGACAACAGCCTGCTCACAATGCCCTGAGCATCCGACAGCTCCTGGCTGAGAAGAACATCACTGTGCTGGAGCAACCTCCCTACTCACTCCACCTGACTCCGTGGGATTTTTTCCTCTTCCCCGAGCTCAAGGGGGTCATCAAGGGGACGACAGAAGATGTGGACGACATCAAGATGGCTGTGACGACAGAGCTGTGGAGGATCCCAGAAGAATCCTTCCAGGACTGCATGGTGGCGTGGCAGAGAAGGCTGGGAAAGTGTGTTAGACTCTAGGGGATCACTTTGAAGGGGAAAACTTGTAGTTTGTAGTTTGGATTTGCACTGTATCTTTTGTGACACCAGTCCTGGTACTTTTCTGACACACTTCGTACATTGCATACGATGGCTTTATGTAATTTTTTTTTTTTTTACACTTTATTCATAACTTTCGTGATTGTCTGTCTGCCAATGTTTGTTTCCCTGTTTGGTTTCTTTTTAGTGGCATCGCTGTGTTCCCAGATCTCAGCGATAAACTTGGCAGTGCAGTGTAATTATTATTCATAGTAATGACTGGCTAAAATATACCAAAATAAAACTGAAGTGTTAATAAACCATAATTATCCTTTCACACATTATTTTGAGAGTGTACAAGCTGTTAGCAGTTTAAAAACCTCCTTACTATCATCTATGCTTTTTGGACATTTTTGCAGTTGTCTGGTATTCTAATCACCAAGCAATCTGAGAAAAATGGAGGGATCTCATAGAGTTGCTGCATATAGATTGATATCTAAGTTGTTATTTATTGCTACTGAAAAAAAAAAACATTAAATAACAAAGAGTTTGTCCACCAATAATAACTGATTATACAGAACTGATTCATTGCCAACCAGTTTCCTTCCATTCAATTATTTAGGTCTAATCTTGTTTTCAGGGACCCCATAATCCAGTTTCCTCATCTTTCATATGTGGTAATGTCTTAATTAATTTCACAATTGTGGAACGGAAATGGTTATGAAAAAGAGCATCAGCGGTGAAGGCGGGAGTGTAAATTAACGCTGTGACTGGTGCTGCAATGAGATGAACAATGATGCCACGGTGAGGCTCTCGTAGTGCTGCATGGAACTGATTTATCTGTGTGTGTAGTGGCTGACATAACATTTGCATTTCTTAATAGCAAAGGATGGAAGGGAGTGAAGTGGTGGAGATGGAGGAAGCAGACACTTTAGAGTTTCACTGTGGAGTGTCTGGCAGTTTAATTGTCCCATTGATACCCATGGATTGTTTTATATGTTTGAGAAATCCTACTGACAGTGAACGAAATGGTCCCTAGTTAATTAAATTATTTCCCATATGATGTCACAATCATTTTTCAGAAATAACATAAACATTTGTGCCAGTGACAAGAAAGGCTTGTACTGAGCGATGCTGTGACTTTGTTAAAGGCTCTTTTAAAGTATTTATGCATCATTTGTCACCTCCCACAAACTGCAAGAGCCTTGATAGAAACAGGGAAGCATGCAATCAGCAGCTTGTGTTCTGCTGAATGGGAAATAGCTACTCTTTCATATCACTTGAAGGCCACTGTTCACTCTGACGAGGCCTTTAAGCTTTAGATTTGATTTGTCTCCACTGGCAACCTTGATTATCTGAATATGAGTGCAAGCACATAAGAGATGGGATGCCGGTGAAATCCATGCAAATGCAAATGCCGCTAAAAACAAATGCACTCATTTGCAGTAAGCTTGAATGATTTCCTATAATAAAAAATATGTTGTAATATGAAGGAGATGTTGGAGACGTCTTAGGAGTCAAGAATAGCTAGGGCAGAGACCAGGCTTCACAGGACGCTGATGAAGCTTTATTTTATTTTTAAAAAACTTTTCTGCATCTTTCAGCAACAGAAAATGAAAAGAAAAGCAGGTTTGTTCTGTAGGAAGTAAAGAAAAGATATATACACAAATATAATAAATACACAAAAGTTAGCATTTCACAGAAATCTCCCCTTGAACTGTCTATTATGTAGTGACAGCATGCGTGTTTGCATTATTGAAAGTAGCATGCTGACATAGTTCCCTCCTATTCTCTATCACCAGATGGCTGACACAGATCTTCACTTTGGAAATCACATCTCGCCAGTGAATGTGAAGAAAGTGTTTGTCCTTTCTCTCTCCCGCTATGCTTTCATCGCTGCTGCCTTCTGTTTTCTCGCACCAAACGCCTGGCATTGAAGCGACAGGCTATTAAATAAATTAGGTTTCCTCCAGTGGGCCTGACAAAGACAGCCGCAAAATGAGAGGCCTATTACATGACCTGCTTTAGTGTTTTGTTTTCCAGCTTAACCTTACCCTTCCCTGGGGCTTACTTAGTTACGCTCCACAAAATGGTGTGCACGTATCAATTGGAGGCATCTAAAACTCACCGAGCCTGCCGGGCCAGGGCCGGCCACTGTCTGGCTTTCCAGCAGTGAGACCGTGACAAGGTCCATCGCTTGCACCTCCCATTGCTGCAGCCATCTTCGCGAGCACCTGTCACTCATTGGAGATCTGTCCCGCTCCTCCTGTTTGTCACAAGCTGATCTCCTCCTCACGTCATAGCATGACACTACAGTTACACTGCGCATGCTCAGTCTCTACGGCCGCTCCAGCAACCAGACTCTTATGCATGTGTGCTAACATCAGTCTGCGAGGGACGTCAGTACAGCAGGTATCTTCTTCCTCACTGCATGCATCACAGAAAATTACTGAGTGGAACTGAACCATTGGGGACAACTAGAGAAGACTCTGCTGCTAGGGTGCAGCTCCCCAGCTACCTCCACAGTTTTCGGTTGGCAATTAGCAAGAAGCCACTGCACTCTTTTTCTTTTTGGTTTATGGATAAATAAATGGAAACTTTGGTTAATGGTTCTCTGGAGTACAGCATGATGTCTCCAGTGGCTTGTTATATTCTGCAATCCACTTCCTGTTCGTCAGGGTCCATTAACAGCCCAGTCACAGAGCTGCTGTTGAAGGAGAAGGCACTGAACAGAACACATTTAAAACCACACATTTAGATTTATCTGGCAGACAGCGGTGAAGGCTGATAAAAGTCTTTATTTTTGCTGTTGTCACATATCATTAATGTAAAGAGCAAAACCAAAAATGTGTTTAACCCTAGTTTCATTACTTTGTGACCTCTGGACCCTGTGCATGGGTCACAGAAATGGATCAATACTGCATTTGTAGGAAAGGTCAAGTGTTTTCTTAAACAGTCAGACACTACAGCTCTGAGCACATGTAACTAGGTATCAGAAATAGTGCAGCTGCTGGAGACCGTTTTAAACTGTGGATAACATGTTTGTTGTCTTGAGTATTCACACAGGTACAACGTAACTGTGGGATTACTACAGTATCCATGTTCACCATGAAGAGAAAACACATTTGTGCAAAGCTGTAGCTCATTGGTCAAAATCTGAAGTGCACAGACAAATAAGCTATAACAGGCTTTGGCTACATGGAAAGCGTCTATTCATTTTGCTTTGTTTTACAGGAAATGTGTTGAAAATATGGAAAAATATATGCTAACACTAAATGACAAAAATAAGCTCAACGATGTGATGGGTGAAGAGTAGCAAGGCTTCCTCTGCTAGTTTACACACTATAGATTAAGACTCCTCACCTCAAGTGGGATTCGTGGGGACCACAAGGACTCGGCTGGTCGTCCTCCAACATGAATATGATAATGGAACATAAACCCTGAGAGCACTTCATCATCAGCTTTATAAATATTTATTCACGCACAACGCGCCACGGTGACACGTAAAAGCTCTGCTGCCTCAAAATGCCACTGTGGTGATTGACTTGAATTAAATGGGCGCTCTTGGCACTGGTCAGGGCAAATTAAGCGGCTGATGCTTTGTTTGGGCTCTTGAGGGCCAGCAGTGGTGGAGCACCACTGATGAATAACTTAACGCGTCCACTCATTATTGAAAGCCAATGCT